AATTTTTAAATTTATATAAAATAATTTTCTCAAGAAACGTGTCGCTAAATTTTAAACCCTAACATAAAAGTGAAAACGTGTTCGTCTAGCCGTCATAAACGAATTTAAATTTTTTTTAATCGAATTCATTTTCGAATAATTTTAAAGTATCAATTTCTTATTATTTTGTTTTAAATCCGAATTTTAGTAAATTTTAAGTGATAAATATATATATCCTATAATTGTTTAAAGTCCAATTACTTAAAGTCCGATTCTATAAATCCAACTAATTAAGTCCAAATCGAAAGCATTTCAGCCCAATTACCTTAGGCCCAAATTTGAAAATATTTACAATCCAACTTCTTGACCCAATTAGCTTCCTAGGGAATTGTGCCCTAATTTTTTTTTTTCTATTCATATAAACTCCACCTCCCTCCTCTACTCACCATTCTAGCAGCCATTTTGGGTAAGTCTCTCTCTCCTTCAATCCTTTCCACCGTGATTTCACCATTGATGTTAGAACATCAATTTCTAGCATCAACAGGAATCCACCAACAGCACCACCTCAACCTACCAAGATCAAGCTACTGCAAAACACAACGACACCACACTACCTAACACCATCACGAGACCAACCTCACCAACACCAAGCCAAACCGAAACCACCAAGCCAACCATCCAAAAAAGAGACCTCAACCTCAAACTGCAGAACCACTATTCGAAGCCGCAAACCCAACTCAACATCATACACGAGCTAAAAAAAAATCAAAACACCAACACCACTGCTCAACACCCAAAATCAGCTCCGAAACTGCCACTTTTCACTCCTAATCGATAGCCATCCTTCCACCAACAGCCACACAAAACCAGGAAATAGCATAACCTATAACTTACCTCACTTTCCTCAACCTATTTCTTGAGCTTGAGCCACCAAGGAATCAAAAGAAAATCGAGCCCCATTTCCCGGTTTCGAACCATTTCGCCCAAATGAAAACCCCCCCATTTGCCCTGTGTACCTGCGCCACCACAGTGGTGGCACCGCCACCGATTGGACGGTCGGTGGTGGGAATCGGAGAAGGGGGGCTGCCCCTTTTCCCCTCCTCCCGTCGCCTCTCTCTCTCTCTCTCTTTCATGTAAATGAGAGAGAGAGAGAGAAAGGAAATGGTGATTTTTAATTTTTTTATTTTGAAAATTGCATTTAAGCCCCCAGGTTTTAAATTGATTTATTTCAGTTCCAAGGTTTTCAATTTTTTTAATTTCAGTCCTTCAATTTTATTTTCAGTTTTAATAGATTTTCAATTAAGTCCCTGATTTTCTTAAAAGTTTAATTTCAACCCTTAAACTTTTATTTCCAGTTTCATAGATTTTCAATTAAGCCCCTGAACTTTATTTTATATCATTTTAAATTATTATCTCAATCCCAATGTTTCAATATTTAGTAAATCAGTCCCTAGAGTTCCCATTTCCCACATTTAACCCCATTACTTTGAAATATTATTTTCTGCCCCTATATTTGTCAAATTCAGTTTTAATAAATATCCAATTAGATCCCTAAACTTTATTTTTACTGTTTTAAAACTTTAAATTTCGGAATACTAATTCAAAACCTAATTTCTATTTTGGTTAGACGAAACGTGCAAACGATTAGGAGATTGATGTTACGTTCCGCTCCACTTTTTACGAGACTTGAGATAATTTGAGGTAGACTCGCCACCATTAATTAGTTTAAATTATAATTGCATGTATTATGAGAATTTACGTGATTTATATGCTTTGATGCATGAGAT